ACACAGAGCCTCCTGGAGGAGCTGCGGCGCGCGTGGGCGCCGCTGGGGCCGCGGCTGCCTTTTGCGTGGCAGGCACAGTACACAGAGCCTCCTGGAGGAGCTGCGGCGCGCGTGGGCGCCGCTGGGGCCGCGGCTGCCTTTTGCGTGGCAGGCGCAGTACACAGAGCCTCCTGGAGGAGCTGCGGCGTGTGTGGGCGCCGCTGGGGCCGCGGCTGCCTTTCGCGTGGCAGGCGCAGTACACAGAGCCTCCTGGAGGAGCTGCGGCCCGCGTGGGCGCCGCTGGGGCCGCGGCTGCCTTTTGCGTGGCAGGCGCAGTACACAGAGCCTCCTGGAGGAGCTGCGGCGCGCGTGGGCGCCGCTGGGGCCGCGGCTGCCTTTTGATGGCAGGCGCAGTACACAGAGCGTCCTGGAGGAGCTGCCCACGCGCGCTGCAGGCAGGCGCAGTACACAGAGCCTCCTGGCGGAGCTGCGGCGCGCTTGGGCGCCGCTGGCCCGCGGCTGCCTTTTGCGTGGCAGGCGCAGTACACATCACCACACAACTCATCACAACTCATCACAACTTATCACCTACCAACTCATCACAGCTCCACTTCTCACACCTCACTCATCACAGCTCCACTGCTCATCACAACTCATCACAGCTCCACTTCTCACAGGTCCACTTCTCATCACAACTCATCACAACTTATCACATCCCAACTCATCACAGTTCCACTTCTCACACCTCACTTCTCACACCTCACTTATCACATCACAACTTCTCATCACAACTCATCACAACTTATCACATCCCCACTCATCACAGCTCCACTTCTCACACCACTTCTCACACCTCACTTATCACATCAGAACTCATCACAGCTCCACTTCTCACACCTGACATCACAAGTCCACTTCTCACACCTCACTTCTCACACCTCCCCGAAGTTCACATTAAGCTTAGATACATGAAGGCTTGACATGTGGGGTTATCCGGTCCTTTTTTTTTGTTGTTGTTGTTGGTTGGTTGGTTGGTTGGTTGGTTGGTTGGTTGGTTGGTTGGTTGGTTGGTTGGTTGGTTGGTTGGTTGGTTGGTGTTGGTGTTGGTGTTGGTGTTGGTGTTGTTGTTGTTGTTGTTGTTGTTGTTGTGTTTGTTGTTTGTGGTTTGTTGTTTGTTGTTGTTGGTTGTTGTTGTTGGTTGGTTGGTTGGTTGGTTGGTTGGTTGGTTGGTTGGTTGGTTGGTTGGTTGGTTGGTTGGTTGGTTGGTTGGTGTTGTTGTTTGTTTGTTTGTTTGTTTGTTTGTTGTTTGTTGTTTGTTGTTTGTTGTTTGTTGGTTGTTGGTTGTTGGTTGTTGGTTGTTGGTTGTTGTTGTTGTTGTTGTTGTTGTTGGTTGTTGTTGTTGTTGTTGTAATTGGTGTGGTGTAGTGTAATTAGTGTAGTGTAATTAGTGTAGTGTAATTAGTGTAGTGTAATGTAGCGTAGTATTTTTGTATTTGTAGCTGTAGCAGTAGCGTAGTGTAGTGTAGTGGTAGTTGTAGTTGTTGTAGATGTAATTGTCTGTCTATCTATCTATCTATCTAT